TTATTCTGAGAATTCTCTCCCGGGACCCTGGCATGGACACCCAGCTGGGCTGGGAGGGACCTGGGAGGGGGAGGGGAGGTGGCCGCGGTGCCCAGGCAGTGGCTGCCCACTGGCCCCAGCCGTCTAGCAAGGCTTCCTGCCCTCACTTCTGTCTCCACCTCCTGTGTCCAGGCTTCAATGTGAAAGAGGAAAGAATCTGTTGGCCTAGCCTGTCACTTTGGGAAAAACCAGTACATTCTTTGTTTCTTCTCCCCCTTAAGCTGGTCTGAGTTTGGTTTCTGTAAATTAACTGCACACACACACACACACACACACATACACACACACACACACACAGTCCCGACTCCTATGAGAGTCCACTTGTGGCAGCTGGGTCTTGATCGAACGTACCAGACAAAAGGCACCCTCACCCCCTGGACATGGTGCTGACCTGTGTGTTAATTCATGCACGTGCGTGTGTTTGTGTGTGTGTGGTCATTTACATGCCACTCGGATTTTCACGCACCCAGTTACATCAAGCATTGGAAAGTGATGGCTCCAGATGCCCCTCAAAAGTGCTCGAAGGACTGCCTCCCGTGTGCCTTCCGGGGAAGCCCCTGGGGTGCCCTGGCCAGAGTTGTGTCCCCTCTTGGACACAACCATGACCACCCAAGACACACAGCTGCATTATTAGGTGTCTTCAAAGTCCCAGCTCCTCCTCCTTCTGTTCTCGGAAGAAGAAAGCCCCACCCTCAAGCAACCCTCAGCAGATGGCCTGCCTGCCTGCCCTGTGGCCCCGGGGGCACCTGGCTCCCCATTTAGGACTCAGATTTGGCTGTGACCCTCTCTGTTCACCTGAGCACACACAGCTTCATTTCCCTTCTGTGCACCCCTCTTGGTTTCCCTTCACAGTCAGACCTGGTGGCGGGGGACCCCTCCACTTCCTGCCCCACGTCCTCAGCTGGCTTCACCCATCAATGCTCGCTACCAACAAGCACCACCGACAGCCACTGTCTTCTCATCCCTGCCTTGGCCACTGATGGCCTGGGGGACCACACGCCCGCTGTGCCCAGCAGTCAATGCCCGTTTCGACTGAAAAAAACGCACAACCTAGAAGCTGAGAATTATGTTGTATTTGGCAGACATACTGAGGACTTAAGCTCAGGAGACAGCTTCTCAGATCGGATGGTCCTGAAGAGGAAAGGGAGGAGCCAGGATCTATAGTTTTTGCCAAAAAAGACTAGGTAGTTGGGACATCAAAAGATTCCTGCTAATTAAAGAAAACCAGACATCTCAAGTGAATGAATTTAGTGCTTTTCTATGGATGGGAAGATGCAAGCGTCTGGGCTTACTGAAATTACTCCTTTGATATGCACCTGAACTATCCTGAGGGCCAGGATTCTGCTTTCCTCCATCCTGAATCCCCTCAGGGTGCTCAGTGGGAGCCGCTGCAGAGGCTGATGGCCTGATGGCCTCAACATCCTTTGTTTACTGATAGGACCTGCAACATTCTTTGTTCACACCTGTTGTCCTGGAGCAGTCACCAGTAGGGTCCCTTTCACTCTCAAAGGATATGGTCTGGATGTGGTCACCCAGTGACAAGCCCAATCCCCTGGTGCTCTCGGGGTCCCCAAGCCGACCCTGTCCTTCCTCCCCTGTGACATCACTGCCCTGCTTCTGCTCCTCCATAAACATCAGTGTCCCCTGTGGAGGACTCTGTGCCCCGCTCTCCTGGAGACCTCACCCCTCCACAGGAATGGGGGTCCCTGTGCTTTGAAACTACTCAGAAGGGGAGTTGGCTGGTACCATGGACTCAGGCTTCACTGGTCTGACTTTCCCTCGGGCACTTGGGGTGACTCGTGTCATGGTGACACTGGAGGCTCACCCACCTGGCCAGTCACTTTCCCTTCTCCCTTGGCCCTGCACTGTCCACCCACGCCTGACCCGGGGCCACAATCCCTGCTCAATCTAGGCTCAATTCCCGTCTCCCTGGAACCACCCTCCCCGTCCCCCTCCCCACCCCCACTGCTCTGGCAGCCCAGCCCCCAAGCCTACCTACTTCTAAAAGTCTAGCTCAGATATCTCATGCTCTCCTTCCCCACCGTCCCCTCCCCTCTCCCTCCTGCCCTCACTTCTCTCTCATTCACATTCTTTTTAAAAACTTATGATAAAATGCATACAACGGAACATTTACTGTCTCAACTATTTTTGAGGGGCATTAAGTGCATTCACATTGTTATGCAACCATCATCACCATCCATCTCCAGGCTATTTCTTCTCCTCATTAAGCACTAACTCCCCTTCCCCCAGCCCCATTCTACTTTCTATCTCTATGAATTTGATTACTCTGCGAACCTCATATAAGCGGAATCATACAGTATTTGTCTTTTGGAGATTTCACTAAGCATAATGTCCTCAAGGTTCATCCACATTGGAGCAGCTGTTAGAATTTCCTTCCTTTTAAAGGCTGAATAATATTCTACTGTATGGATGGACCACATTTTGCTCAACCATTCAAATGTCGATGGATACCTACCCGAGTTCTTTCACATTTTAGCCATTGTGAAAAATGTTGCTGTGAACGTGGGTGTACAACTATCTCTTCGAGACCCTGCTGTCAATTCTTTTGGGTATATGCCCAGATTAGAATCCTGGACCATACGGTGAATCTATGTTTAACTTTTGAGGAACCTCCATACTGTTTTCTACAATAGCCGCACCATTTTACATTCCAACCAACAGTGCACAAGGGTTCCAATTTCCCCACATCCTTGCTAACATTTGGTATTTTCTGGGGTTTTGACAGTAGCCATCCCGATGGATGTGGGGTGATAGCTCATTGTGGTTTGGTTTGCCTTTCTCTGATGATCAGTGATGTTGAACATCTTTTCATAGGTTTATTGGCCAGTTATAAATCTTCTTTGGATAAATGTCTATTCCAGTCCTTTGCTGATTTTTAAATCAGACTCCTTGTTTTCTGTTGTTGAATTTTAGGAGTTCTCTGTACATTCTGTATATTAATCCCTTATAAGATATATGGTTTGCAAATATCTTCTCCCATTCTGTGGGTTGCCTTTTTACTCTGTTACCCACGCATATTCTTTAATGGGTATTTCCTGGGCACCTGTCAGTGTCAGGCCCTTAGGTCCAAACTGTCTGTGGCCGCGGTGAAGTCACAGAGCAGCTTCCCTTGCGTGCCGGCAGCCACGCGGAGACCCCGCCCACCCCAGCCCCAACCAGGCCAGTCCTGCTCGCCCCGACTAATGGAGGAGGGGACCATAGCGTGGAAGGTCCTCCGGCGGCTAGACCTGC